AGGAAGGAAGGAAGGAAGGAAGGAAGGAAGGAAGGAAGGAAGGAAGGAAGGAAGGAAGGAAAGAAGGAAGGAAGGCAGCAGGCAGGCCAACAACTTTTACTGCACCCTGGAGCTGAGTCGGTCTCTGGCTGTCCTCCGATCCTCTTAGAGAAAAGATCTGGAGGAAAAACAGCATAGACATCTAATCCAGAGACTCTAGTTACCACAAGCAGTGTGACTGCTAATTTGTCACCTTGACAAGATTGAGAATCACCCACGAGGAGCCTCTGGGTATACCTGTGAAGTGCTTTCTTAACTGGGTTATTTGAAATGGGAAACCCCATCCTAAGTGTTATCTTTCCTTACATCTCGATTCCAAGTTCACCAGTTGCCCTTCAGAAACCCCCAGGCCTTGAGCACCAGAATGGGACCCCCGAGTCATCTAGGTGTGTAGGACTGAGACAAACATCACTGGATTACCCAGGCTGTATTATAGACACCAATTAATATAACAAATCCCTATTAATAGATCTCATTCTGTTGGTTCTGATCCTTTGGAGAACACTGACTGATGCAAACAGTAACTATGACAAATATATATGTAGGAAAAATTGGGTGTAAAAAATAAAATGTATGTCAGTATTTAAAGGCAAATATATATTTGGAGCACAATATATACCAAAGGATGTAACAGCTTATCACATTTTTGAGTGTTTATTGTATGTAATTGTCCTAAGTGCATCTAATTTCTTACAACACTCCTATGAAATAAATACTATTATTGTCCTCTCTTTATGAATGAAGAAACTGAAGTACACAATGCTTAAATAAATGGTTGTAGTCAAAGATTAGTAAATAGAAGAGCTAGAATTTGAGCTCAGGCAGTGTCTAAGTCACTGTTCTATGGCTGTCAAGTGACACCCTGATCAAAGCAACATCTATAAAAGAAAGCATGTAACTGGAGGCTTGCTTACAGTTTTAGAGGGTTAGTCCACAACCACTATGTTGGAAAGCAGACAGGCATGGTGCTGGAGTAGTGGCTGAGAGATTTACATCCTGATCTGTAGGCAGCAAGCTGAGAGAGAGAGAGAGAGAGAGAGAGAGAGAGAGAGAGAGAGAGAGAGAGAGAGAGAGAGAGAGACACTGTCCTGCTGTGGGCATTTGAAATCTCAAAGCCCACTCCCAGTGACTCACTTCCTCCAACAATGTTACACCTCCCAATCCTTGACAAACAGTTCCACTAAAGGAGCTTTCAATCACATGAGCCTATGTGGGCCCATTCTCACTCAAACTCCCACAGGCAGTGGCTCTTTGGAGCAGGAGAGGTGTCTTTTCCTCCCTTTCACCTGCTTGTTTTTTTTAAATGCATGAAATCCTTTCTCATCTCTCTCCCCGTTCCCTATCTAATCCTCCCCCCACTTCCCTGAAAGTTTCAGCTGCTCAGCCTACAATTGCTTTTGGTGCAAATACGATGGCGTGTGTCAGTCTGGTGTAGTGCTAAGAACCTGTCTGCACAGCAGACCTCTGGGAAGTGTCACCCCCGTGGTTTTCCTCCCTTCATAGTCCTCACGTCCCCCAGGCTTATCCCTCATCCTTCCTCTTAATATATTATCACATCTCTTACACACTCTCTTCTCTCAGAACACAAAACACAATTTTATCAAGAAAGCCAGTTCCAATGGGTTGGGAATTCGATATTACTGGCTTCTGCGACAGCCTTTTAAAATGCTGTTTACTCTGCCTCTCCATCCTAACATTGGTCCCAAGGAGATCTGTGAATGAAGCCTCCATTAAGCTTGTACCTCTGAGTGGGGAGCACACAAAGCAACGGTGAAGGGTGAAGTTAGCTCCTAGAGACGGTACTCTGTGGGACCATCAAAGACACTGAATGGAAACTCTGATTTCCCATCCCTTAAGTAATTCCCTGATTGAAAGCCACAAAGCATTACAGATGGGTGTTTCCAGGCCCATGGCATTTCTCCAAGACCACAGTTCTCTTCTAGCCCATCAGCGGAGATGAGAAGAACACAAACATATGCTCGGTGGGAAGCCTGCCCAAGGAGGAGTCCCACCACCTCACATTTTCCCTGACAACACAGAAAACAAGTATTCAACACAGAAAATGGATCCTCGGAGGCAGGGCACAGCACCAAACATCTCTAATTACTTCCAGCTCGGAATGAAACTCGAGACCACCATCTTAAAGCTGATGCTGAAAGCGGCTTCTCATCCCAGAACAGAAATGTCAAACCAGCACATTGTCTTTAGAGGACAGGGCAGAGTTTGCCAGAGGCTTATCTTTTATTGGTTTTACTGATAAGGACAAATACTAGCAACCACTTTGCCTCAAGTCTAACAGCATTTTTATTATCTTTCTTTTTCCCAAAGATAATCCTGGTAATAAAGTAATGGGCTGAGTGACTAATGACAACTTAAATCATATCTCAGTAGGTTTTTACTATAACCTTAGCAGTAGAGACCTCATTCAATCTATGTTCTATATTCTAGAGCAGCCTTAGACCTTTTCATTCATTCAAGGGCCCCTTTATCTCCCTAAGAAAAGTACCCAGAAAAACCATCATTGCCCTGTTTGTGTTTCCATGGTACCAAACACTGGCCTTTTGTTCTCATAATGTCTCATGAACATTCTTTTATGCATGTCTATGTCACCTGCCATATCACAAGCCTTAAGTATGTCGCATTCATAATTGTCCAAGTTTCAAGCACATGGGGGGAAGTATGAGTTCAGCATGTGCTTGTCGAGAGTGGGGCTTTATTGGTTAAGATGTCCTTGCTCTAACCATATCACTTTACACAGAATTCATTTTCATCTCAGTCCATGGAGTTAATGATAAAGCCTCCTTCACAGGCTGTTGAATATGTTGTTATTCAGTGTGTGTTCACCCTGGCTGTCCTGTCTATATGACCATTATTTCTCAGCAGCTTGAAACACCGTTCATAATGCTGGAGGAACTGCCACCTGAGCTCATGGTCCTTTGTAAACAGAGCCTCTGACGGGGGGAGAAGTAAGCTAGTTCTATGTCACATGGCATACAGACAAGAGAATGATCTTTCAGATGCTCTGTTGGCCAGGAATGAAGCTTGCACTGCATATGTTTCCTCATTTCAAAGGTTTGACTTTATTTCATCTTCATACGTGGGACAGAGAAGTTCTTATTATTCTAATTCTTGAAGATGAGGAAAATGAGCCAGAGGTTAAATGACCGAGAATTACGCCCCAGTAGCTGAGTCACTGGCCACAGATCCCATGATTTTGTTTCAAGTTGTAACAGAGAACAGACGAAGCACAGGCTTGGCATTAAATGTTTCCTGGAGTTGTGTCCAGTTCATCCTCCCAAGTCACCAGTATCTCCAGGTCTCCTCGGTTTGTGTGCTACCGAGGGACCAAGAACAGTGTTCCCCAAACCATGTGGTTGTTGGGGTTCCCCCAATCCATCAGCAGATCTTCTAGAATCAGTTCTATAAGGTACAGGATACAATTTCTTTTTAAAAGACTATAAGCCAAGCCGTTATTAGATATCATACATTCATAATAAAATAGTAATGCATAAAATATCCTGTGGCAGTCTCTGTCAAAATTGTCCTACATCCAGCCACAAAATATAAATGAGGGGGTGTGGTATTGTATTCCCCCAAATATTGTGCATGCTAATAAACTTATCTGGGGTCAGAGACAGAGCAGCCACAATATTAAACATAAAGGATAGGCAGTGGTAGCACACGCCTTTCATCCTAGCATTCCAGAGGCAGAAATCC